CCACAAAAATTACATTTACCAAGTAAGGAAACTAGCAGATTTAAAACAAACACAGATTCTTGTCATTTCTTGTAAAATCTTTATATCATACTCGCCTCCCTAATGTCACTTAAATTTCTAAAAGAGCTTGAAATAGAAAAAGAAAATGATATTAATGAATGAGGAGAATTAGAAATTAATTTCTCTCCCCCCAAGTGTTTAGAAATCATTAGCCCTCATTTGCCAGCAGCGGAAACAATTAGTAGATTATTATATCTAATCTATAATAAATTGAATTATTCATTTGATTATCTTGATTATCAAGTAGTAGTTCGAGAGCCTGCCACAATTAACAAAAATACTATTCAAGAGTATTTTTCGTTCATTTGCTCTACTCCTTTTCTATGAAAAGATAAAAGAGATTTGGTTTTCTTTTGTCAACAAAAAGAATTATTAGAAAATTTTGTTTTTCGTCGCAATATTGTTTATTTCTGCTTTCCCAATCAGTTAACTATCGACAACTGGAAACCAAAATTAACTAGTTTGAAAGAGATACTAAGTAAATTAGGATTAACTAACATTCGTTTTGCCTCCAAACCAAAAGAAAAAGAGAAAAATGATGCTAAAAATAATAATTTGGTAACTAGTGGAAACAATGGAGCAAAAACCGAAGAAAAAAAAAATAATTCTAGTTCGGCAAATAGTCCATCAATAAACAATAGAAAAAGATTATACAAATCTTTGTTATTGCAAGAGTGAAAAGGAAGAAAATTAATTGAATTAGGAGTTCATACTAAATTTAGCACCTTGGATGGCATAAGCAGCCCAAGTGATTACGCCGAGAGTGCTCGCCAAAAAAATTATGCTGCTTTGGCCGTGACCGACCATTATAATGTGCAATCTTTCCCCGAGTTTAGCAAACATCAAAGCAATGATTTGAAAATTATTTATGGTTGTGAAATGGAAATGTTGGAAGACGACCTTCCGCCCTATATTTTTAATCATCCTGAACAAATTTTGGAAGCGAATATAAATGATTTGACTTATTGCGTTTTTGACTTAGAAACAACTGGATTTTTTTCCCAGTACAACGAGATTATTGAAATAGGTTATGCCATTTATCACCAGGGAGAAATTATTCGGGAAGGCGAATACTTAATTTGTCCGGAAAAAGAAATCCCGGCCGAAATTCTGGCTACTTGGTATACTAGTATTGACCCCGAAGAATTGAAGAAAGCCCCGACCATCAAAGAAATTTTGCCAACCCTGCGCCAAGAGTGAGAAGGGTGTATTTTAGTGGCTCATAACGCTGGTAAATTTGATTACGGATTTCTGAACAAAGTCTGAAAAGAGCAGTTTGGCGAAGAATTGCCTCATACCATTCTTGATACGCTACCTTTGGCTTGGATAATGTTTCCCGAACGAAAGTCTTACAGTTTAGAGAAATTAAGTCATATACCGGGGCGGGGAAAAGTTGTCCAAACTCACCGAGCTCTGGATGATAGTAAATTGTTAGCGGAATTATTAGGAAAATTTTTGAAAAATCTGAAAGAAAATAAAATTACGCAATGGGGAAAAGTTAGAGGGCTAATCAGAGAGGGATTTTTTCCTAATCGGGGTTATAGAATAAAAGTTTTGGCTAATAGTCAAGAAGGATTGCATAATCTTTACTGCTTGATAACTCTTTCTCATACCACCCGATTATTCAAAAAGCCCTCAGTTTTTCGTTCCGATTTAGTTAAATATCGGCGTGGACTTTTAATTGGAGCCGCCGGTGGCCGAGAAGGAGAAATATTTTCACTTTTTAGTTCTGCTAATTCCGAAGAGAGAAAAAAAGAAAAATTGCATTTTTACGATTATGTAGAAGTAAATAGCCCTCAAACTTTTCGTCATTTATGATTGAATGGACTAATCGGAGAGAAAGAACTAAAAGAAATGATTAGACAAATTATTAAGACAACTGAAGAATCAAAAATTCCTGCGATTGCTTCCCATGATGTCTATTATTGTCAAATTAAGGAAAAACTTCTCAAAGAGATTATTGTAGCCAATGAGGGAATGAATGGTAGTCGCCATTATCTCTACTACCAAGCAACTTTGGAAGAAGAAGAGGACCGTTTTGCCCATCTCCCGCCACAACACTTGCTTAATTTGGAGGAAATGATTGATAATTGACTATTTCTTAATGATAAATATTTAATCGAACGACTTATTTTTAAATATCCGCAAGTGGTAGTAAATAAAGTAGGGACGGTTAACGTGCAGCAACCACCGCTCAACTACTCAGCAACTGGGAGCAGTGGGAGAGAAGAAAAGGATTTAATCTCAGCTTATACGCAACGAGCTAATGAAATTTTTGGTCAACAATGACCAAATTTCGCCAAGGAAAGAATGGAAAAAGAGTGACAAATTATCAAAGGTCGTTATGTCTTTATTTACTGATTAGCCTATAAAATAGTGCAAAAAACTCATGAAGATGGCTATTTAGTGGGTTCGCGAGGCTCAATCGGTTCTTCCTTCATTGCTTACTTGTGTGGGATTACTGACTTAAATCCCCTGCCTTTTTATAAATTTTGCCAAAAATGTCGCTATGTGGAACCTTATGAAACCCAAGATAGAATCTATTCCGGCTATGATTATCGAGAAAAGGAAAAATGTCCTGCTTGCTCCTCCCCATTAATTATGGAAGGGCATAATTTACCTTTTGAAACCTTTTTTGGTTGGGAAGGAGAAAAAACTCCTGACATTGACCTCAATTTTTCCGGAGAATATCAAAAGTCGGCTCACAATTATGTGCGACAACTTCTTGGTGAAGACTCAGTTTACCGAATTGGCACTATTAATACTTTATCGCAGCAAACGGCCGAAATATTTTGGCGCGAACACCTGAAATTACGCAAAACTCTTAACTCTGATTTCAATGAAGAGAAGTGATTTAAAGAATGAATTGATGGA